AGCGGCTTATCGGCAGTCGAAACACACGATCCTCATCATTGGTGCTTTCATTGAGATGTGTTGATCGTGTGTTTTTCTTCTACCCCATTCCCTTTCTTTTTTCTTTTCCTATTTTTCGTCCCCCCTCTTATATATATATAAAAAAAACAAAAAAAAAATATATCATCATCTTCAACACGAGCCCTAGAAGCAAGCCATGGCCAACAAGGAGATGAAGGAAAAGATCGATAATCTCGACGTTCAAGTCCGAAGTATGAGCGAGGCTATGAATACCCTAGGCGAGGGTCTCGATGCAACTAAGGTGTCCGTTCGTGATTTGATGGAGATCATGAACCAAAGGTTCGATGAGATAGCTCTCAACTTTCAACAACAAGCGCGCCAACCACCTCCACGTCATCACGAGCGCGAGCGGCAAGAGGAGCTGAGGCGCGCGGAGCACGAGCGGGCCGAGGGGCACGAACGGAGGCGTGCGGATTTCGACCGGGAGGTTGATTTCGATCGGCGATCCCAGGCATCCAGAGAAACCGAGGATCACGCTATCCATGTTCATCGACGTAGATCCCGACGCATGACTCAACCGGGCTGCCTAATATTTCGAGCTGAATGAGATCGAAGGAAACGATCGAGTAAAGTACGCAACATATTATCTTGATGGTGAGGCCAATGTTTGATGGCAATGGCTCACAAGGATCTACCGCAAGCGACAACAAATTATCACTTGGGATGTCTTTGAAAGAGAGTTGCTTACGCGTTTCGGTACGTCTGATTACCATAATTACCACGAGGCTCTTGCACGCATACGACAGACAGGCAACTTGCGTGAATATATTAAGGAGTTCGAACGTCTAGCATGCCGCGTGCGAGATTGGCCCGAAGACGCATTGGTGGGAGCGTTCATCGGTGGTCTTAAATTCGATCTAGCTGCGGAGGTTCGTCTAGAGCGACTAGAATCAATGCATGTGGCTATGGAAGTGGCCCGACACCGAGAAGATCATCTTGTGGCAACTCGAAGGGGACGGGCAGACGCACGCTACCCCGAAACACGACGCGTACAACCGGATGCGAGC